AGCACTACTCCTAGTTGTCTGAGAAAGCGCCAGATTGACTTCCAAAGTGGTTGAACCAGTTTACATTCCCACTAGCAATGGAGGAGGGTTCCCTTTTCTCCACAACCTCTCCAGCATGTGCTATCACTTGAGTTTTTCATCTTGGCCATTCTGATGGGTGTAAGGTGAAATCTCAGGGTCGTTTTGATTTGCATTTCCCTAACGGCTAATGAGGTTGAGCATTTCTTTAAGTGTTTCTCTGCCATTCGATGTTCGTCTTTCGAGAATTCTCTGTTTAGCTCTGTTCCCCATTTTTTAAGTGGATTACTTGGTTTGTTGCTTTTCTGCTTCTTTAGTTCTTTATATATACTGGATATTAGCCCTCTGTCAGATAAAGGGTTGGTGAAGATTCTTTCCCAATCTGTAGGCTGTCTATTTGTTTTGATGACAGTGTCTTTTGCTTTACAGAAGCTTTTCAATTTCATGAGGTCCCATTTATTGATTGTTGCTCTTAGAGCCTGTGCTGTTGGTGTTCTGTTCAGGAAGTTGTCTCCTGTGCCAATAAGTTCTAGGCTGTTTCCCTCTCTTTTTTCCAACTGATTTAGAGTATCTGGTTTTATGTTGAGTTCCTTGATCCACTTGGACTTTAGTTTTGTGCAGGGTGATAAATATGGATCTATTTTCATTTTTCTGCATGTAGACATCCAGTTGGTCCAGCACCATTTGTTGAAGATGCTGTCTTTTTTCCATTGAAAGGATTTGGCTTTTTTGTCAAATATTGAGTATTCATAGGTGTGTGGGTTTATTTCTGGGTCTTCTATGTGGTTCCATTGATCCTCCTTTCTGTTTCTATGCCAATACCATGCAGTTTTTATTACTGTTGCCCTGTAGTACAGCTTGAGATCGGGAATGGAGATACCTCCAGATGATCTGTTGTTGTACAGGATCGTTTTGGAGATTATGGGTTTTTTGTTTCTCCATATGAAGCTGAGAATCTTTTTTTCAAGGTCTGTAAAGAATTGAGTTGGTATTTTGATGGGAATTGCATTGAATCTGTAGATTGCTTTTGGCAGGATGGCCATTTTCACAATGTTAATCCTACCAATCCATGAGCACGGGAGATCTTTCCATCTTCTGAGATCTTCTTCAATTTCTTTCTTCAAAGACTTGAAGTTTTTCTCAAACAGGTCTTTCACTTGCTTGGTTAGAGTCACACCAAGGTACTTTATGTTACAAGGCACATACCTAAAGATAGTAAAGGCAATATACAGCAAGCCTATAGCCAACATCAAACTCAATGGAGAGAAACTTAAATCAATCCCACTGAAATCAGGGACAAGACAAGGCTGCCCACTCTCTCCATATCTCTCCAACATTGTACTTGAAGTCCTAGCCAGAGCAATAAGACAACTAAAGGAGATCAAGGGGATACAAATCGGAAAGGAAGAGGTCAAAGTGTCACTATTTGCAGATGATATGATAGTATACATGAGCCACCCCAAAGATTCAACCAGAGAACTTCTTCAGCTGATAAACACCTTCAGCAAAGTGGCAGGATACAAAATCAACTCAAAAAAATCAGAAGCCCTCCTGTATACCAAAGACAAAAAGACTGAGAAAGAAATTAGGGAAACAACACCCCTCACAATAGCCACTAATAACATAAAGATCTTTCTTCATTACCTGCTGTGTCTTTATATCCTTTGGTTTTCCTCTATCATCGCTGAGCACACCATTCACTTTTCAGTCCTAAATCTTAAAGACACTGTCTTCTCAATACTCCTGCCAAGGCATTTTGTCTTCACATAGATGGATCCTGACACTCACCAATCCTAACAACCGACCTTGCTGTCTTTCCCAGGGGATTCAGAGACATTCCCCATCCTTTTGGCCAAGCATTACTATGGACTTGGTCTGCCTTCTCTCTCATTCTTGATGCTTCTGTAGAGTTTTCAGATTGGTATATTGATGCTTCAGGTTTCATTTTCAGCCTTTTTCCCTCTAAAATCAATCCCTCTAGCACATTTCTCAATCTGAACTTTAGTTATAAAACCTCTGAAATATGGGACTCAGTAAAGATATGTGGCTGGTATGGTGTGTGTCTTCTAGGATTGTAGGGCAGGAGTTTGCATTTTCTGTATTTGAGTGCAAAACATCTGACCTCAGTCTTTTGGCAGATTTTTCCTCTCTGCTCCTGTAGCTCTGCTTGAACAGCCTCATTCTTCTTCTCGGGTCCTTTGTATCTCTCTCTCTCTCTCTCTCTCTCTCTCTCTCTTTGCTTCTTATTCTTTGTCAAGTCTTGCCCATTTGCTTTAGTCTGTTCTACCCAGAACTCTATAGACTAGTTATCCTGATCATCCTTGTCATACTTCTGGTGTTCCAATAGCAGTTTGATGTTTCTAAACATCTATATCAGCTTTCAGATTTCTTACAGTGATCTAATGGCCTCCTTATGTCCCCCAATTTCTACAGAAGGAAATGAATGATAATTCTGAGTTCTTTTTTATTTTCATACCAAAAGACAAAAGAGTCATTGTACCCATAATTTGTACTGGGCTCAGCAAACTATTCATCACTTTTTCAGACACACCTGCTGTCACTCAGAAGGGGAAGTGTGCAGGCCCAGGGCTGTGTGTGGTGCAGGCAGCTGGTGAGACTCTCAAGGAGGTTTGTGTTGGAGGCTGAAGCACTGTGTGAGGAGCACTAATATCTTGCAGACAGTAATAAGTTGCCAGGTCTTCATCCTGTACACTGCTGATGCTGAGAGTGAAATCTGTCCCAGATCCACTGCCTGTGAAGCGATCAGGGACCCCAGTGTACCGAGTAGATGCATGGTAGATCAGCAGCTTAGGAGACTGTCCTGGTTTCTGCTGGTACCAGGACAAAAAGTTCTTTTTGCTGCTGCTGTGATAAAGGCTCTGACTGGACCTGCAGCTGATGGAGACCTTCTCTCCTGCTGACACAGCGAGGAAGGATGGAGACTGAGTCATCACGATGTCTGCACAGGCACCTGCAGTCAGGAATACACAATGAACATGCATATGAACACAAACACAGAGAGTAAAAACAGTTGAAATTTGTCACTTAATATATTTGTATTATCATGTTGTCAGAGCATTATTATTGAAATATGAAATACTGAGCCTGGCAGACTCTAAGTTTCTTATCTTCAAAAAAGTGACTGTGTAAAGATTATAATAATTTGAGTTTCTCACCAGATACCCATAGCAGCAGGGATATGAGGACCTGGGTCTGTGACTTCATCTTGCTCCCCCTGCTGTCTGATGCAGTTCAGTTCTCACTGCAAAGGCTGGTTTATATATTCTCAGCAGCTGGGCTGGGCTGTAGGGGGCCCATGCAAAGCAGTCAGCAAATACAAGAGCAAATGCCTGTGCAGTGTCTGTGAGTGTAGCTGGTATGAATCAACAGTCAAAAATACTATAACAGGCAACATGAGCAATCACTGAAAAAGATTGCCTTACAGCTCTCAAACAGAAAAGCACTAAGTGTCTAACAGCAAACCTGGGTTAAAAGCCAAGGTATATTTAAGTAAAATTGACTTCCGTAGAAGCATTAATAGAGCTATCTCAGATTGGCAGTCCTAGGGAAATAATAGGATATGTTCAAACACATCACAACACCAACAACAAGAGAAACAGAGTAAGAAAGCTTGCAATAAAAGAAAGGAAAGATGGAAGAAAAGATGAAAGGAAAAAAGAGAATTGAGGCTAAATGTGTTCAATATTACTCACTTCCAAAGCCACTGTTAATGAAAACAGAGGGCAGGGCCTCAGATATTTGGGCTGTATTTTCTTAGATAAACAAGGTATTAAGATGCAAAGAGCAGGCCAGAATTCACTCTGTGGATATCCTGGCAGACAGTAATTTAAGGCTGAGATCATAGGAACTTTAATCTCAAAGTAAAGGAAAATCAGCAAAAACTAACAAGTATCTTCCCCATAACTTCAGGAAATTGCAAGAGGGATCTAAATCTGAAAATAAAAGAAGAAACACCGGATTTTTCATGAAGTCATTGTTGCAGACCAAGACTGCCATGAGTTTTATTCAAGGAATACAAATGCTAGTGTAATTTAGAAATTAGCAGTACTGAAACTGGATGAAATGGGCTTCTGACACAACAAAGAGGTAAATCTCTCCAGAAGGGGGCAGAGCCATCCTTATCTATGTAATGATTTCATAGACCCCAAGAGAATACTATTTCAGTGACTGTTCCTATCCAAGCGGTGAAAAAACTTATGGCGATGAATAAAAAATCAATAGCAATAAGCGGAACCACAGAATCTGCCAGGACTTCATATCATTGAAATCTGAAAGTATAGATGAGAAGTAAATTATGTAGCCAGAATTATGCATAAAGTAAAAGACAAAAATAAATATGTGAACTATCATGGCAAGGGGTGGAGATTCACATCTGTGCTCCCAGAACTGGAGAGACAAAAGCAGGAGACTCACGAGTTTGAGGCCAGCCTGGGGAAGATACCAACTTCTACACAAATCTAATCTGTACATGGAGACAATCTCTCAAAATAGTATTATTAATCAACTGGTTATAAGGCCGCTCATGGTATTATCTACCAACTCATATTATTTATTTGATGTCAATGTTTCACCCTTGAGCCACAAATATTATTGAAAAAATAAATATTCACTTATCCAATATGCATATGACTCCATTTTGAATTAAATGTATTATTTCAAACATCTACTTTTCAGGTATAAAACGTGAAATAATTTCTGATGAGCACATGCAGATCTCCTCTGTAAACTACTAATACAACATCCTATGAGAGAGGTAGACCATACGTGGATACAGGAAGTTCCTAATCTCAAAGTCTAGACTATGACAGACAAGGAGCTCTGCTCCTGTCAGTGTCTAACAAGTAGTCATATGCCTTCACAAAACTTTATACTTCTCCTTGTGACAGCAGCACTGAGCTCAGACTGTGCCCTCATGACATTCACAGCTGCTTCTTCAGATGGGACAAATGGAGACAGGGATCTTACAAATCCAAAGTTTCCATGGGCTTCTCACAGTATGCCAGGGGAGAGTATGTGGTCTAAAGAGGCAAAAATTTCAAGTTATATTATGCACAATATAGAAAGTCCAACAGTCATTAGTTACTTCTCAGGTTTAAACAGTATGTCCTGGTGCTTTTGATTATGTTGGTTCTGATTTGAAATGGACTATAACCTTGCTGGCTGAACACAATACTTAATAATATGCCTCCACCCTTGCAAACAAGAAGTCTGAAGCTGATGGCCTTTAGCTCCTGGGACACAACACCCTCTTCCATGGACACCACTGTGTTTTCAGGACTAGGGAATATCAGTCTGATATGCAAACTATCCTGGGACAGTACAAAGCTGAAGTCAGCATTTCAGTTCCAGCACATAGAATCTTTTATTCTCTGGATAAGTGACTATCCTTAACCAATACATGTAACAAGAAATAGTTGACAGAGAAAGATTTTTGAAGGATAATTACCAAAAAATACTGCTTTACTAAAAGATTCAGATTAAGAATAATGGGTTTATTTAAGAGGGTTTCAATCTGTGGAACCCATCTGCTTTCTGTCAAAAGATGCTGGGATTGCCTAAGACCATGTGAATTATTAGATATTTACATTATGTTTCATAACAGTAGGGAAATTACAGTCATGAAGTATCAATGAAAATGTTTTGGTTGGAAGTCACCATAACCTGAGGAACCATACTTAAAAAGTTTCAGCATTAGGAAGGCTGAGGACCAATGGTTTATATGAAACTCTTACTTTATATTCATTGCCAAAGATTTGCTTTACTTACTAGAAAATATATTCTATAGAATTTCAAAATAATGAATAAAGTATATAGAGTTAATAAGCTCACATGTAACTAAAAGGTCAACTCTCCTACACTATAATGTTTTAAAACCTTTGTGTTGAATGACATGTGTTTGTCTGTATATTTATTAGGGAGAATCCCTTAATTTTTTCAGTTAATTCTGTTTACCTTCCCTCTGAGAAATGTTTTTAAGATTAAAGCTTTGAGTTTAATATTTTAAAAGTTTGCCTTGTGTAACAACTTCAAGAGGCTTAGGCACAATATATATTGTGATAATAAAGTGTGGATCCTCAGTTCTTATTTACAGCCGCTAGAAGAATGAAACAAGTACAAGTTAGAGGACTAAGAAAACCCAAAGATCAGAAAGAAGGAGAGGAGGTCCTCCCCTATCAGTGGACTTGGGGAGGGGCATGCATGCAGAAAGGGGGGAGGGTGGGACCGGGAGAGGAGGAGGGAGGGGCTTATAGGGGGATACAAAATGAATGAAGTGCAATTAATAAAAGTTAAAAAAAAAGAAAGAAAACCCAATGGAATGACCCACTCATTGTGATGGGGGCACGTGGGACCAGCATCAACTTTGAGACCATCACTTTGGATGATGTGCTTAATCCACAATGAAACAAGTTCTTTCACTAGTTTAGCACACAGCCTTGATCACTATTCCATGTTGATGCTTCTCAGATTTTTCTGCTCTGGATGATATTTATAGATTGTTGAAATAAACATCATAATGAAGACAGGAACAGGAGGGTCAGATGGGGAAATGTAAGGAAGATAGTGTTGAGGGACTGAATTGAAGAAAATATAGCTGGAATTAAGATATTTGAAGGATGATATAGTAGGGAAAACTAGAGCAATGGAAACTTTCTATAATATATGTTGACAATCTGGCACAGATACATATTCTTTGGAAGTGGCATAAATCATGACACCAGCACAGCTGCTTGACACAGTCCCAGCAGAGCTAAGCAGATTGGTGCAATTACTGTCTATCTCTAATTTGGGGTTTGGTTTCTGCATGTTGTATTCTTAGGGACTTTCAGCATTGTGGTACATTTTATGTCTTTTCCTGAGAAAAATAATGCCTGAGTCTTTTAAGGAAAATCCTAAAATTAACCTTATGTGACCATTATTTGGAAGTCTTCCTAATGTCTTGGAGACCCTTAAGCACAGATAAGCAGATAGCTTTGTGAGGCCATTGTTCCAGGAATCTTCTTAGGATATCAGCTCCTGAGCAAACTAAAACAGTATATTTGGCATTAGGTAAAAAGACAATTTACAAACCCTCACAGGTCAGGAAAATAGCTTAGAGATTCAAGACCTCTTTTTAATACAGGCTTAGAGGTTTCAAAAAATGAGGTTTAATGACAGAGATCCTCAGGATATACATTTGAAGAAATGAAACTCAGTAATTAGACAGCTTGACTAAAATAAGCTTTTTGTATAGATTATGATACATACAGTAAAAAGGGTTAGTGGCTATTCATAAAAGACCAGTTCAGTTTTTTTCTATTTTCTTCAGTGCTCTTGGACTAGAAACATTGCCAGGCTAAAATCAGGCTCTGTCATATATTAAACATGTTCGCTTTGGAGGAGACATTCTTTAGATTCTTTAACCTAGAGTTACAGGGGTAATAAAACAATAAAAGCTGTTCTGTTTGTATTTTCTACTTGTAACTGACATTTTAACCCTAGACACATAATGAAAAATCAAACACATAATCTGTACCACTTAGATAATCATTAGTCTGTCTTTTTTTCTGTGAAACTTGTATAAATAAAAAAGCACCTGGTTGCTAGAAGTCAGATTCACCTAAGTGGCATGACCCTATACACTGGGAAAGGATCTTCACCAACCCTATGTCTAACAGAGGGCTCATATCCAGAATATATGAAGAGTTAAAGAAGTTAAAAAGCAGCAATTCAAGCAATCTGATTAAAAAATGGAGTACAGAGCTAAACAGAGAATTCTCAGTAGAGGAATAGAGAATGGCAGAGAAACACTTAAAGAAATGCCCAATGTCCTTAGACATCAGAGAGATGCAAGTCAAAACGACCCAGAGATTTCACCTGACACCCACCAGAATGGCTAAGATAAAAATCTCAAGTGGCAACACATGCTGGAGAGGTTCTGGAGAAAGGGGAACCCTCCTCCATTGCTGGTGGGAATGCAAACTGGTACAACCACTTTGGAAATCAATCTGGCACATTTTCATACAATTAGGAATAGTGATTCCTCAAGACCCAGCTATACCACTCCTAGGCATATATTCAAAAGAGGCACAAGTACACAAAAAGGAAATTTGCTCAACCATGTTTGTAACAGCTTTATTCATAATAGCCAGAACCTGGAAACAATGCAGATGTCCCTCAGTTGAGGAATGGAGACAGAAATTGTGGTACTTCTACGCAATGGAATACTACTCAGCAATTAAAACCAAGGAAATCATGAAATTTGCAAGCAAATGATGGGACCTGGAAACGATCATCCTGAGTAAGGTATCCCAAAAGCAGAAAGACACATATGGTATATAGGTCACTTATATAGACCTATAAATAGGATAAACATACTAAAATCTATACACCTAAAGAAGACAAACAGGAAAGAGGACCCAGGGTATGATGATCAGTCCTCACTTAGAAAGACAAATGGGATAGACATTGGATGTAGAAGTAAACAAGTAACAGGACAGAAGCCTACCACAGAGGGCCTCTGAAAGACTCTACCTAGCAGTGTATCAAAGCAGATATTAAGAATCATAACCAAACCTTCAGCAGAGTGCAGGGAATAAAAAAAAGGGTAGGGGGAGTTAATATGACCTGGTTCCACAAGGACCAAATATATCTGGGCACAGGGGTCTTTTATGAGACTCTTTTTCCAAACAAGGACCGTGTATGGATGCAACCTAGAGCCTCTGCTCAGATGTAGCCCTTGGTAGCTCAGTATCCAAGTGTGTACCGTAATAAGTGGAACAGAGACTGTTTCTGACATAAACTCAATGGTGGGCTGTTTGACACCCCCCCCTACGGAGGAGCAGCCCTGCTAGGCCACAGAGGAGGACTTTGCAGTCAGTCGTGAAGATAGCTGATAAACCAGAATCAGATGGAAGGGGAGGAGGTTCCCCCCATCAGTGGACTTGGAAAGGGGCAGGGAGGAGATGAGAGTGGAAGGGTGGGATTGGGAGGGAAAGAGGGAGTGGGATACAGCAGGGATACAAAGTTAACAAACTGTAACTAATATTAAAAAATAAAAAATAAAAAGAATACTGTAAATTGCTAATATGAAATCTATCCCATTTTACATTAACATTTAGTGTATGATCTTTCTTCTTACCACTGCTTTCACTGTTTTCTACAAATTAAGGGGTATGGTGTGTATTCCCTTGTTTGAATTACACAAAGTCTTTACTTTCTCTACTTATTCATGTGTTTGCCTAGTTTTCATTCTGTGAAAAACTGTTCAGGTTCCGTGAGTTTGCAGATTTCTTTTGTTCTTGTTTATATCCATATTCAATCCCTAGTGTTTGTATAGGATTCAAGGAGTTATTTCAATTTCCTTGTATCTGTTGAGACTTGGTTTATGTTCAAGCATGTATGTGCAGTTCCATTAGGAGCAGAGTAGAAAGCATAATCTTTCCTATTTTGGTGAAATGTTTGCTAAATATCTATTATTTCCATTTGTCTTATAATATCTATTAGCCAGTATTTTTCTGTTTACTTTTTGTTGACCATTTTTTAAGAGCCCTACTTTATTTAGGGTTATTAAATGCTTTTACCTCCTTTCCAACTCCTCAACACAGGGTAGAGGGAAAAGAAGGTTAGTGAGAACTGTGGGCAGACTTTTCTCAGCTACCTTCTGCTGAGTAGGGTCATACAATTCTTTTGGAGGCAATACCAATATCAGTTGTGCAGAAATCCCCAAGTACAGGTAACCAGCAAATCAGCAAACGGCAAATGCAGCAGCAGGACGAATGAACAGCAAGCAGTCCTTGCTTGCCTTCTCTAGGTTCTCATATTTATATCCCTCAAAGTTCTCAGAATTCAAGTAATCCCACCTGGCAAAGGCCATGTTCCGCACGAGTCACTTAACAGGTGTGGACAAATTAAAACCTTCATTTTTGGATATTAACAAAAACATGTTTGCACTTCATTAACGAAAACATCCACAATATTTCCCTTTCCCTGTTTAGAAAAATTGGCATTTTCTTTAACATTAACAAAGTATATACAATAA